ATCCTTGGAAATCTGATCATTCACAAATTGTGAACTTTTATTAATTTTGTAGGATTTGGCTATTATCCCATGTTAAAAAGAAGTCTATATCCATTTTCAGGCTTTGGAATGTATTGAACCTTCTGAAAATCCTACATCTTATATATCTTTTATCTAAATAATGCTTAAAGTATGAAGGATTTCTTAGTATGCATCTTTATAAATTACAAAATTTCTCAATTTAGTTAGAAAGTTAGTATACATCATTTTTCCACTTTAAAAATATTTTAATTGCTGATTTAATGTGATTAATTTTCCTTCTTTTTTTTTTTTTTTTTGGTAAAATATCGACTAAGACATTGACTTATTGGAGACAGACATCTCTGAGCAACCACAGTGAGATAGATAAACCCTCTACACATGAATCTATTTTATAGACCTGTTTTGAAGCACACTTAACATTTTTAGTTAGCCATTAAAAATATCATACACCTTTATTTAGGCTGGTAGTTGGTATTCAGGTTAAGTACTAAGATACTGAGTCACAAGAGTTACCAAATTAATAATTTTTTTTTAATGCTCAAAAGTAAAGAATGTCAAACCAGCCAATTTTTGTATTATATCGGATAAATGTTTTGAACAGAAGATTAATTCAAATATTCTGCCGGAAAAAAAAAAAGTGTAGAAAGTCTGGGCATCTTTTATTCAATTTTTGTTTTTAGAATTATTTTGTAGATCTGAGTGTGAGTTAAAAAGAGAGTAAATTCCTTATTGAGTTTTTTCCAAATATTGAATCAACATCACTGGACATAAAGAATATAAGTTACTTGATAAACTACTCTTTTTTAATTCACTCCCAAGTTAGATTATCTAACCATTTGTATAAAATTCTGTATTATTTTCAGATACCTCTACATCTTCCCTTGATTTCTGGGTCCCTATCCCAGGAGCTACATTTTGAGGCTGCCCATGGCATTGTCCAGGCCTTGGTCTTCATTCAGATAACCCCCTGAAAGGCTTCTAGTCCAGAACTCACAGTCCTAATTCTTATGTATCCCTGCCATCCCTCTTCTGTCATCAACAGGTCAAAACGCAATAGTATTATTTTCTTGTGTGCTATAATAGTAAAAATCTATATTTTATAGGCTCTTTCTACAATTTAAGTAAGAGTAATCTGAAATGATAAAAATGGTTCAAAGCAACATCTGAGATTTCTAGTTATTTATTCTAGGAATGTAGGGGATTTTTATAAAATAGTTAAAATTTTTCTAAGAACACCTTAATGTTATCATTTCCATATTCAGATGTAATTTTATATTCTACATTGATCTGTGTAAAACCTGCTCTGCAGATGTTTTGTGAGTTTTTTTTTTAACTCAAAATGTACCTATGTGTTATGTCCATTAACAAGCACAAATTCAGCCAATATTTTTATATTTAATTGATGGTTCTGAATGATAAGCAAGGTCCATAAAAATGAGTGGAAAGCACAAAAATTTCTTGAAATGCCTTTTAATATATATCAGAGAATGATTTAATTGAGGCAATGCTTCCACAAGTTTAAAACAGTTAAATCTCAAATGCTCAAATATGGGCAATTAACCATTTCACAAGTCCTTTAAGAAGAAAGAATCCAGTAAATATATTTAAGGAGTTATATGATCAGAGTTATCTGATCAATAATTACTTACTAGTATCATTAAAGGGAATTGTGATCCCAAATGCTGTTTATCAGGCACAAATAAATTCCCCTTAACTGTTCTACATCTATTGACACTTCCTTCATTAGTGTGAAACTTTGGTTTATCAGAAAGATGAACTAGTCATTAAAGCTTAAAGTCAAGGTGCTAAATCAGATTCCAAGCTTGTTATTTTATTACCTTAAAAAAACATTTAATACAATTTCTTAAAAGTTTAGAAAAAATAATCATTGATGTAGTATTTCTTCCACACAGTCCCACTCCTTTCAGAGCTACATATGCTAAGCAAGATTTAAAAACATTGCAGATAACAGAAAATATAATCATGTCTGATGAAAGCTTGTAGTTTCACCGGAACTTAACTAATGTTTTAAGATCTCTGAGAATGGTTTGACAATTTTAGTCGTCAGTAGCAGCAGTTTAAACAAAGCAGAAATCATAATTTAAATACATAGTTCACATGTTTCATATTATTTATCTGTTGCTAAATAAAAGACAAAGTTTAAAAGGACAATTTGGCTCTGAAAGTTTCAATATAAATTATTAAAGCACATTTAATATATTTCTAATGAAGGTCAATGAACCCCTAAAATTTGATTATTAAAATGATGCTAGAAGATAGTATTCAATGGAAAGCTATCTATCTGATACATTAGTTTCACTTATAAAATATCTAGCTTTTGAAAATATAGTATAAATAGTAATCATTTGATATTTCTATAATTATTGTTAATATCAAAAATATGTACAGACTATGTAAACAAGTAAAGTCTAAGATGAACCAATCTGACAAAACACTATGAAAAATTTATTATCTTATCTTCATCTCTAAGGATTCTAGTTTCCCAAACTTTATTAGCAATATTAAGTGGTTAGCAATATTAAGTTATTAGCAATATTAAGAATTTTACCTTAGTATTTAATATTTCCTATAACATTAACCTCAGTCTTCTTTCAAATTAAAAACATTATTTCTCACAAAATATTGGAATTTTATAAAACTTTTAGAAAATATTTAATATATTAAATTCTTAGGTAAGGCTGAAATCTTTGAAAATACAAACTGGAATTAAAATCATCAAACTATACTTTTAAGTCCTATTTGCAAAGAAAAATAAATTCAGCTCAAAATATCTCCTAGAACCTTCTGGCAGATTCTCAGTGATTCCTGAAAATGTCCACTTTATTGTGTTATTAGGCATAAAATGCGGCAGGTCTTCTCAATATGTGTCTGTATTGTTTTCCAGGTGAACAGGATAGTTCTACCAAGATTTCATTACTGTTCACACTTGGCGCTTTGTAATTCTATGTAATTTTAATTAAAGAAGAATTCTCAAACAGCCTCCCTCTGTGCTACCTCCAAGCATACAATTATCAGACTACAATGTCTGCTGTGAACAGTCAGTTAATGATTTCAGGTTAACAATTTATTATTGCTTCTTCAATGCCAACCATACTAGAAAATAAGAAGCTCAAACTGTATGCACCAAACAGGCATTTAAGGTGCATAGTTTAACAATTTCAAAGGGATTACATTCTCTGTGTAAGTTCAACATCTGCACAAGCCCCCGGATCTTTACATGGGAATGAACACCATTTTCTCTCTTGAGGATTACAAGAGAAAATATATTTAAGTTTCCTTGTTAAATGTAGCTGTGTCTAGCAGATGATGGTTATGTCAAAGCACCCTCCTCTCACTATTTAAAAACAAGACGTTCTTCTCAAATACACCCTTGGGGGAGGGAGGTGTGGCTTTAAGTTTATACACTAGTATTAAGACTATTTAAGTAGTCTTTTTCACAAAGTCTCTAAGTTCTGCCCTGAGCCACTTCCCAATTTAAAAATCCGGGCCAAATATTTGAGCTGCAACTCTGATCCTAAAAAGACTTTTCCTTCAAAGAAATCATTTTACTGTTATAGTAGAAAAATTTAAATGCTTAGTCATTCTTTTATCTAATAAGAAATGTAAATCCATCTCTAAATAATCACCAGTTCTTTCAATAAATTTGTATCACTTTAGTCCATTCTGAAAGTTGATACCTCAATTGGAAAGTTGTAGGAGAATTCAGTTTGACAAAAAATAGTTTAAATTGAGTCAAAAGCAAGGAACAAAAACCATACTTTTAATATATTTTTAAATGACATTCAATACTGGTATTAAGAAAAGAATACATTTGATGTAATTTTAAAATAATATTTGAAGAGAAATATTTTCTATTCAAATTCATAGTTGAATATATATGTATACATATACTTGTCTACATAATAAGTACAAATGATCAATAGATTAATTTTTCTATAGAAATTCATGCATTTTTCATACTGATTAGTACTATCCTGTTTCCTTTATATATCATTTCTAAGCCTTTGTTAAAAATTTCATCTTAGAAAAGATGAAGGACTTTATAATTGTAAAGACTTCATCTGAGAAAAACGAATATACTTTACTAAAATTCAAAGTTGTAGAAATCACCATATCACACTAAATTTCAGCACTTCATACTTGAACTTAGCTCTAGCCTATCACATATATATATATATATATATATATATATGATAAAAAAGAGCCAAAGTGAAGATTAAAAATACATTAGCTATAGGAAAAGGTAGAAAAAATGTGATTTAGTTGTTCTTTTTCCTCAAAGGTTAAGTGGAATGAGTGAATACCCTAGACCTTCTAAAAAAATATCATTTAAGTAAATTCACCTAAATACAACAATAGGAGCTCAGATGCACATGGTGTTACTGCCTAACCATTCCTTTGACAGTCCTTAAGCAGTTAAATGTGACCTCTTAGACTGAATAATACAATTCTATAATCATGTCCACAGAGCATAAACGACAGCATGATCATGTTGCATTTGATACAAAGCTTTCCAGTAAAAAACAAGAAGAAAGAAAACACCTTTACTCACAACAGCAATGAAATTATTGTCCTTTGCTCATGGTTCATAAATTCTGTGTGACATTTTTTTAAAAAGTAATCTGAAGAGTCATTGTCATTATATTACACTTTTGGCTTTACTGTCACTTCAAGAGTTAAACAAAATGCACTAAAATTTACACTTACTTTCAATTTGCCCAAGATGTGTAATTCCATTTATAATTTGAAAACAAAATTTTAGATAGAAAACAATGGATGCCTTTTGCTCTTTCCTGCAATAGCTCATAGTATAATCGCTTAAGAAACACTTTAGCAAAAACAACAATTTAAAGACCTATATTAAAATCATGCCCTCCTATCTCTGAAATTGAAAATATGTTGTTTCCTTATGTGATTTTTTGAGGATAAGAACAATTGCCAACCATTTGTTTTTTTAGATATCCGGGACAGTGGAGGCCCCAAACCAGTGATGGTATATATCCATGGTGGCTCATACATGGAAGGCACTGGAAATTTATATGATGGGAGTGTCCTGGCAAGCTATGGCAATGTGATTGTCATCACGGTCAACTATCGACTGGGGGTACTAGGTAAGAAGTCTCTCTCTTTTTCATCATTAATCCATGAAGTATGTGATAGTTTTCTTTTGACTTGTTTTGCTATATTTTACTTTATTTCATTCCTATTCTATGGTCATTGACTTTTTGGCCCCATATTTTTTAAAGTTTCAATGAGTTTCATGAATTTTCTTAAAGTATGTGACAAAGGACAGCAAAGGAAGAATTTGAAGTGTGAAACCAAGTGAGAACGAAATCAGTCACATTAGGGAGGAATGTACTTTCTAGTTTGTCCTCTTAGGATGATGAAAGGCAACAGTGGCAAGGCCTTTGCTAAAAAGAGTAGTTCCTGAACCAATTTTTCTTCCTTCTAGTTTTCTTTTTAACAATGGTATAAAATTGCTTGAGGTCCATCATGAACTTAGAAACAGGTTTATATTCTCTTTCAGAATATGTATATGGACTGACTTTAGGGAATGATTGCCTCCTGTTATTTTGTAGGCTTGTATTTTTTTCTTTTTCATCCTAAAATAATTTGGAATATTTTCTCTGAATTCATTGTGCTTGAAATTTTAATTTAGAAAAATGTGTATGATTTCAAAAAGTGACAAAATGTTCATAATGCATACTGTCCCCAAAAGAATTACAAAACCAAAGTAGAGATTCTTGATTTTGAAGAAAAGTATAGAAAATTATTATTTACACAATAACTTTTTATTTAGGCTGAGGTAGGCATGATGCTTGATGTAATAGGCAATTTACAAAAAATAAAATTACTATTCTATAACCATAAGTTTGTTAGAGAGTTGTAACAATTTAAGAAAATTGCTATATAATTTAATAAACGTGTGTATCTGTGGTATTTTAGTTAATAGGATTTACTAAAAGACATATCTCATGCATAAGGGATTTGATTGTTTAGTTTTCATTGTTCTCAAAATCTTATCCCACTCCTACAGACTCAGAGTATAAATTATCATTTTATTTGGACAGATATTTTACTCTTTCATTCTGTATTCTAAAATATTTTTTTGAATGAATTTGAATTATATTTTGTTTTATAACCACTTTTAATATTATATGTATTTAGCCATATTGAAAATCATATTATTTTCCTTCTTCAATGTTTTTGTTATTCTAACTTCTGTATACTCATAGTATTATATTTATGCTTATAAAAATAGAATAATTTTTGTCAGTTAAGTTTATACATCTTTGGGAAGGAAATTTTTTTATATTGATGCTTATTGACTATTTTGAAATTTGGAGTGTAATATATGATATAATAAACTGTAGCAATGTAGATATAAAATATTTCTATAGTATTGCTCAAGTATGCATTAGTTTCCCTACAGTGTCTACTCATACATTGTTTCAGGTGATCTTTTAATTTTAGGGGATAGGGGTGGATGTCATCTCATCAATGAAAACTGTGTATATTAGAAGATATGTAATGATGTGTTCATAATGACTTTTAAATATCTTAATCATATTATAGATTTATTATGAGCCACTTTAATATGAGGGTTTTAATATCTTCAATTCTTTTAGGTTGAACTACAATATTGTTCCTAGTACAATTTTTATTTGTCACTATTCTCATCTTTTTTAAATTTCTCTAGTTGAAAATCCTGAATACTGACCAGTTGACATATTGAAAATTTAAAATTAAATGCCTATTGTGGTTATAGTGTTTCTGAAAGACTAAAATATCAAGTTAGTCGTATATATTTATTTTATTTAATGTTCTCTTTTGGTCACATCCTATGTGGCCTTTTTGTTTTATTGATTTTACTTGCCTAATATACTATTTCATAAAATAAACTATTGTTTTTGTAGAAGTTTGTTTCCTCTTTCCCCTTCCTCTCTTTCTTCCTCTCTTTCTTCTTTTTCTTGCTTTCTTTCTTCCCTCTCTCTGTCTCTCTCTCTCTTCCTTCTTCTTGAAACCTCCCCATATCTCATCTCTAAATGAATGGTTGTATCATAAGACAATAAATTAACCAGCTAAAAACTGAAGAACAAAATCAATTGCTTGGTCTGTATAATGGCAAATGGTGTTGGTGTTGATGAAGGATAATTTTCTCAGTGTTAAATATTTGTTTCGGTCTTTCCAAATCCTAAATTTTATTCTGTAATTGACTATTTATTCCTCTTAAACACATGATAATCAACCCAAGGCTGTTTCAATATGACAAAGTAAAAACTCTGTTAGTGAAACATTTTCAGGCTTATCTTGGTACATTCATACTAGAACAGATGGGTTTTGGTCACTTCTAAAAATATGTTAGGGCTTGTGAAAATGTATTTAAATGGAATTAATTCGTGAAAAACTTATCAGAACATTTTTAGCACCCTTTTCACGAGTGGCACCCTAATTCAGATCAACAGCTCATCTCAGTGAACCACAACAATGAGGACTATAGAGCTATGAGGTTGTTGTTGTGAATAATTTATCTAATAGGAACTAGATAAGCCAAGGTTTCTTGGCTATGGTATCCAAAAGTGTTGCTGTGTACTTCGCCTTTGGGTAAATATCAGATTAAGTAGAAAATAAGATTTGATCCCACATTAGAGGAAATCTTTAGCTGTGTATTGATTTGGGTGATTTGTTGTGAAGGAACTAAATTTGGTGATCAGATACACAATTGGCTACTTATAATACTACTGCTCTGAGGTGACCAGCAGAGAACTCAGTATGCTTGGAACAAGTGACACAATTAATATTGCTTTGCATTTACATTCTAGGAATGAAATTTTACAACTTTTGTTTTTGATAATAAGTAGAAACCTAATAGTATTTCAGTTATAAAATTCATACCAATATCTAGTGGCCAAGGTTCCAGTTGAAAGCAAGTCATGTTTAAAAATAAAATTGTGTTCATTATAATGTAGGAATAGGATAGAAGAAAAATATATGTCACTGGTTAACATTGCTCTCAAGATCTAGTACAGCTCAGAATTAGTTCCTCCAAGACCTTTTGTGGGTAGTAGTATTTTTTTTTTAAGTAGTAGCATTATGTCACATCAGTTTCTCACTCTGAAATGCTACTGGTGGTGATAAGAATAACCACTAACAAGTCTGACACGAAACATACTTTGCAGTCATCCACCTAAGATGTAAGTTCCCCTACCTTGACTACTATGAGCCTGTCACATACACTTAACAGTTACACATCTTTCCACTTCTTACAATACACATTTCTCCGTCCTCAACCAGTTTTGACATAAACTCTTCCCATATTTAAAATCTTCAAAATCGGTTACTTTGTTGTGGAAATCTCCGAAAGAAATACACAGAGACACAGAATTCGGATAAAATAATAAAATTTCTTCTCACAAGCGGACGGGCATGCCAGAAACCAGTCTGGTCACGCGCCCCCTTTCTTCAGCATTTCCCTTTTTATATCCTTTTTAGCCATTATCTCATCCCTAGTGGTCTTTGATGTGTAAATACAATTCCAGTTCCTATTTAGGAGTCACAGACACAAGATAGGTCATATGCACTGTAAATTCACCTTGGCATGGTAGCTTTGTTAGGTTAATGAAGTTACTGGTTAGAGTCAGATAATCTTCACCTTAAACAAGGAGTTGCAGGAAAAGCAAATCTTAAAAGAATACATTACTTATTTTGCTTCTACAACTACCTTAATATTCAATCTATTAAGTTATCTAAAACTTTTCCGTATCAACTTCACACACCATTACATACTATCTTAAAATTATTTGTAATAATTACTAATATAGCACTTTTCTAATATTTAATGCTTAGTTATTAAAAATCTTCACCTTGTAACTTGGAGAGAAATGTTTTGATTATGTATTCTTTTCTTCTTTGGATTTTTGAGACAGGGTCTCTCTTTGTAGTTCAGGCTGGCCTTGAACTCACTACTCATATGTAGCCCAGGCAGGCCTCAAACTTACAGCAAACCTCATGCCTGAGCCTCCCAAGGGCTGGGCTTACAGGTGTGCACCGCCAATCCTTGCCTAATAATTCATTCTTAAAGAGGAATATAATCAATAATAAATTTTCTGATTATATGTTAAGCATATATATTTTCTTATGGACAAAAAATGGAAGAGAATATAGAATAAAGTCTTCACCATTAATGTGAGATATTGTGCACTAACATTTTTGAAATAGAAACTACTCAAATGATCATGTTTTTACATCTCAAAAAATGAAAATATGCATTGTCATTTAGTATTAAAATGTTTCAACACCTCTCCAAATTTAAAGTAAAATTATTAATTACTTCTACAGTAAAAGTAAAATTTTAATGCTGCTTAAGCAGACATAAGACTTTTTATCTGATGGAAATTTGATGAGTTATTTTTGTCTTGAAAGGGATATTTTGCGGAGAACTATGCAATCTATATTGTGCAATATGTAATTCTTTCTCATGAAACTCATTTTAGAAAATGTTTCAGAAACACTGACATATATCTTTAAATTTTAAGTTTTTAGAAAAGGATCTAATTAAACATTCTGTTAAGTAATACACGACTCTTCCATGAAGAAAACTTTTGAAGCAGTCTCCCATATACTGGTATTTGAAGAATTGGTTTATTTTATGATGTCATATATGACTAAATAATTTAAAACAAACTTTTAAAACATTTATTGCATATAAATTTTAATAAACTCCTATATGTATTTTATTGGTTAATGAGATCTTTAAATTCTTATAACTAGATTTTTATGTGTTAATAATGCTTCAAGTATTATCAAATAACAGGGATAATTATAGCTTTGGCTGTAGTCAGTTGTCAAACAGATAATACTTGGTTAAGCAATTTTCTATGCAGAATTAAAAGTAAAGTCAACATTGTTCTTATTTTTAAAAAGTATCTGACTTCACTGGGAGGAGAAATAAGTACCCAGAAGAGAAGAATCATTGATCTTGTACTTCATAATTATAATAATATATTTATTAATTCATTTACATATATAGCCATTTTATACATAGAAAAATCAGAGCAACAGAAAAGGCAGTGTAGAATATCCTATGGATTCATGAGGAGGCAGTAATTGA